GAGGAGCCCGGGAAGGTTGCGCAGTGAAGAGCTGGTGGGCTTTGGGCCATGGGACCACGGGCACGTGAGCGTGGAGGGGCCGGCTGTGCTCCCGCACCCCCCCGGGAGCCCTCGCCGGAGCAGAGCGCTCCCGGCGGAGCTTGTTGCACCCAGCCGAGAAAACAGGAAACGCGCTGAGCTCAGGGGATCTGCGAGCAAGAGGCTCTTTGTGCGAGCGAGCTCGTGCGCCGGGAAGAGAGAGCCCTGCAGCGCCCGGCGCCGAGCCCGATGTCGCCGAATTGCCCGGCTTCCTTGCGGTTCTGCCTGGGAAAACTGCTCCCCACGGCCGTGTGCGGGGATGGCCCCGCTCCCTGCGCAGGCTCCGGCCCTGCTTCCGCCTCTGCAGGGGTCAGCGAGCTGGTGCTCGGGGCGCTCGGGTGACCCCGCAGCACGGGAAGCACGAGCTGGACGTCAGGAAATCCTTCTGCCTCCAGCAACCTTCCCGAAGCGGAGAGATGCTCTCCCTGGGCAAAGCGCTGAAATCCTTGTTCCTGAATTTAAACAAAACCCTGGAAAACAGACTGGAGCAGCGAAAGGCACTTGGGAAGAGGCTGCTCAACCTTCTTGGGCTTTTTTGGCTCCGTTTCCCATGCTGTGACGTGCGGAGGCCGCGGCAGAAAGGGCAGCTGTTGGGAGAGAGCAGGGCTGGGATGTTGGGTGCCTGCCAGCAGCAACCCCAGCCCTTCTTTTCCAACGTGCTGCGGCCGCTCGGTTTGCAGCGAGCGCGGGCCGTGGCCGTGGGGCACGGGGGGTGTGCGTGGGCAGTGAGCAAACAGGGCACACGGCTCTGACACAGGATAGTTGCCCAGTGGGGCTCGTGTTGGAGGAGTGAGACCCTAGGAGGGTTTTGTGTCATTCCCAGGCATGCAAATTATTGCAGCACATGCCAGCATAGGGGAGGATACCAAGTTGCAGCTTTTATTTTCCTCCATGGAGCCTGACAGCTTTTACTCTGGGCTCTTCCATGCTGCTGCTTCTCCAGAAGCCTCTAGGATGAAGCTCCAATTTGGAGGGGCTGCTGGGGTGCAAGGGCGGTGTGTCCCAAAGGGTGTCCCATGCATCGTGGTCCTGTTCTCCTGCCTCCTGGGCTCGAAACGGCCCTCGGACTGAGCAGAAAAGCGCCCAGCCTGCTAGGTCTGAGCGGGGGCAGCCGGTCTGACCGTGTTTCTAATGCCCATGTGCTCTTCATTCCCAGGAGGACAGTGCAGACCTGAAGTGTCAGCTGCATTTTGCAAAGGAAGAGTCAGCCCTCATGTGCAAGAAGCTGACCAAGCTGGCCAAAGAGAATGACAGCATGAAGGAGGAGCTGGTCAAATACAGGTCCTTGTACGGGGACCTCGACAGCTCCCTGTCCATAGAGGAGCTGGCTGACTCTCCCCATTCCCGGGAGGCCGAACTCAAAGTCCATCTGAAGCTTGTAGAGGAGGAAGCCAATATCCTGAGCCGGAGGATAGTGGAACTGGAGGTTGAAAACCGTGGGTTGCGGGCAGAGATGGATGACATGAAGGGCCAGGGGGACAAAGAGCTCATCGGACAGGACATTCGGTTCCTGTCGTCCTCCTCAAACTGCGGGGACTCTGGGGAGAGTCTTGTGGAGCTGAGACGGCACCTGCAGTTTGTGGAGGAGGAGGCCGATCTGCTGAGACGGTCGCTGATGGAGCTGGAGGACCAGAACAAGCTCCTTATGAACGAGCTGAATAAGTACAAGTCAGACCACGACCTGGACATCACGTTGTCGGAGGACAGCTGCTCGGTGATCAGCGAGCCCTCGCAGGAGGAGCTGGCCACGGCCAAGGTGCAGATCAGCGAGCTGAGCGGCAAGGTGAAGAAGCTCCAGTACGAGAACCGCGTGCTGCTCTCCAACCTGCAGCGCTGCGACCTGGCCTCCTGCCAGACCACCAGGCCCATGCTGGAGACGGACGCCGAGGCCGGAGACTCCGCACAGTGCATCCCCAGCGAGCTCTGGAGGGACGGGCCCATCGGCGGGGAGAACGATGCCCAGGACAGGGCGCCCGGCAGCGGGAAGGCTCCGGACAGCAGCCCCACCAAGCTGCTCAAGTCCAAGGACTTTGAGACCCTCCTGGGCATCCGGGACCAGGCAGCGCTCGTCAGCAAAGCGATCGATGTCTTGATTTCGGACACCAACGGCTTCACGTCCAGCCTCAAGTTGTGCCTGGACAACGAGTGCGTGGGCGGGATGCTGAGCGAGGCGATGGATAACAGCAGCGAGAGCCCCAGCGACTCCAAGCTGATGAACGTCCTCATAATGAGGCTCGGGGTCCTGCAGCAGGACCTGGGCTGCTTCATGAGGAAGGTGGATCACCTCGCCGACTGCCTTAAGGAGCAGACAGACTCCTTCCCCTTCTCTGGCCCCAGCGGCCAGGACTCCACCAAAGAGGCCCTGCAGAAAGAGCACGGCTCCGACTTCCAGGTACGGACCTTTTCCCACGTCACTGCAGTTCCCTCGCAGCAGTTATTGCTTTATTTGCCACGCTCTTTCCCCTGCTTTAACAAAGCAACCCCCGACCTGTAACGTAACCTCCTTGTGCCTCTCTAGAGCAAATCCCAAACTAACACTCAACTCGCTGCATGCCGGTGGAACCAAGGACAAGATAGGACTCTGCTCCAACAGAGTGTGCGCAGGACAGAAGGTGGAGGGCCTGAGCTGGGCGGTGGGGAAGGCTGGGTTGGGGCCTTAGCATTTCCAGACACGGAGCCCCTGCTGATTGCACCATGCCACAGAGGGGGGCTCCCAAATGCAGTGCCACCTCCCTGCTTGCCGCCTCCCTGGGGCCGGCTGCTGTCCCCATCTGTGCACAGGCAGATGCCAGGCTCCTTGGTGCAGAGCCGAGTGTCCCCAGGCAGGCTCGGAAGCTCTCCCCTTATCTCAGCTTGGCCGCTGGTTCACGAGCCCAGCTGGGCATGCGGGACCTGGAAGGCAGCACAGGCTGCAAGGCCAGGATAACGGCCCCTGGGGAAGGAAACTGCAGCCCCAAGCTAAATACGCTGAGGAAAGAGATCCCAGACAAGAACGTTTGTAGAGCAAAGATGCAAAAGCAAATTTGGGCATTTTTGGAGCAGCGGAGAGCAGCTCCCCGCCTCCTCCCCGAGGTGGCCGTCTCCTGCCTGGAGGTGCATCCCATTTGGGACCTGGCGCCGGGAGGGGAAGCAAGACCAAGTCGCTGGTCTGGAAGGTGCCCTCATGCCGTGACAGGGTCAGGCCTCTTTCTGGAGCACACTCGCTTGTTCAGAGTTCTATTTTTCTGCATGCTGCCGGACCACAGTCCCTCCAGCCCCAGGTCCTGGTCTCCCCCAGTCACTGCATGGCACCGTAACTGGTGTTTGCACATTTTTTCCCTCTCTCTCTCTTTTTTTCCCCCTCCCCAAACAACCCAGGCCACGTGTCTCCTCATCCTGTGTTTCCTTTTGGTTTCCGCATTGTCTCCCGCCATGGTGATGAAGCTCCTTCTCCTCCTCATCCTTTTTGTTGTCTTGTAGTTCTTTACTGTTTCGGAGACCCATTGTTTTGTTTTCTGGCTTTCTTTTCTTCCCGCTCTTTTGGTTTGTTCTCATTAACTTGCCCACGCATGCAGCAGCCTGATTTTAGGGACGCCGACCCGTACCGCATCCCCCACGCCAAGGACACGGACCCCGGTGCCGCACATGCCCGGAGCTACAAAACCTGCCGACCTGAGGAGAGCGACTCCTACGCCTCCGAGGTACGAAGCAGCCTCTCCGGGGTGGCCGGGGATGGTCACTGCTAGGTGGGTGCGGGGCAGTGCCATGGAGAAGAGCAAGATCTCCCTGCGACGAGGCTTCCCCAGCGTCCCTTTGAGGTCTGTGTTCCCAGCAGGGACAGAAAATGCCACTGGGGTGAGCAACCTGACCCTCCCAAACTGTGCCTGTTGCTACTTGATTTATCACTTGGCACTACTGAGCAGAGGTTGGTTTCTTTTTGAGGAGTTGCAGGCTGCTGGATGTCACCCCATAGCCTTCTCTTTTGCAAATTAAGCTGGTCCAGCTGCATGCACCTCTTACAGACAGTGTCCAGTGCTGCTGGTGTGCAGAAGAGCTGGGGACAAGCCTCAGACTGCAGTGTGGCTCTGGACATGGGTTTTTGGAGATGTGTTTGGATCAAGGATCAGTGAGGATCCATCTGCCTATTAAATTGCCTGATACCAGCACCACACGTTAGGTGGTCAGTGCTGCACCCAGCAGAGTCTTCTCTGCTTTGGTTAGAAAAATAATTTGCTGCAGGCTTGTTTGGCAGTAGATAACCATGTGCCAGGTGTCCTGGCCCTCCTGCGTGGCCTCAGGAGGTCCAACTCGTGGATCTTGGACTAAACAGGCTCCTCAGTGCCCATTCGCTGGTGCTCCAGCCCCGTCTCTCTCAGGCTGGGGGCTTTGCAGTTCAATCCCTCTCCTTTATCTAATGAGCGGGAGCCCAGGCTCCCAGGTGATGGACCATTCCCATGGGGAAGGGATGAGTTCTCCACAAAGTGGAGGGAGATGCACCTGATGCAGACCCCCTTGCCCTGGGTCCCAGGCTCAGTGCCTGGCTCCAGGCTGCAGGAATGAGTCAGGATCTTTCCCTGAGCACTCGAAACTCAAGATGTGCCCTGGGAGCCATCTCCTGCCACCCTTAGCGTGATCCACTGTGGGCCTGGCTGGAAAGCAGCGCGATGCGCGGCGCTGCCCGCTCTGTGTTGCAGCCTCTGCACTGCTGCTGGCCTCCTGTGGCCTCCTGGCCCCGCACACGGGGCGCAAGGGTGAGCGGGGACCCACCGTGCCCCTCTTGCTGTTGCAGATGAAGGAGCTGCAGCTGGTGCTGGCGGAAGCCAACGAGAGCCTGCGGGGCCTGCAGGAGCAGCTCTCCCAGGAGAGGCAGCTGAGGAAGGACGAGGTGGATAACTTCTCCCAGAAGATCTGCCAGGTGAGCGGGCAGCAGCCTTAGCTCCCTATGACCCCTAGAGACAAGTCCCAGCAGTCACGGCCATGCCACCACCAGCACCTCCTGTGCTGTGTTCTTTAGCAGTCACTCAGGTTGACACTTGGCTTATCCCATCCTCAAAGGCTACAGGTTCTCCTTGCATGGAGACAGGCAAGCTTCCCCTCAAGATGTTGCCACAGGGTCCCGCTTTCCTTGAGTCAGAGCACTGCCAGGAGGCTGCAGCTGGTTTGGGGACATAACATATGGGGCCTCACTCCAGGCTCAGCCCTTGCCAGCCAAAACCCTTGGGAGGCAGCAAACCATCCCTGACCAAGTGGCCTTCCCAAGGTCACATCTCCCAGCAGCAGTTGTGGGTGGCGGGCTGAGACCTCAGCTGCTCAGTAGCAGCAGTGAGGGTGCCAGAGCACTGGAACAGGCAGCCCGGAGAGGTTGTGGAGTCTCCGTCTCTGGAGATCTTCAAGGCCTGTTGGACACAGTCCTGTGCCACGTGCTCTGGGTGACCCTGCGTGTGCAGGGGTTGGACTAGATGATCTCTAGAGGTCCCTTCCAACCTTAAGCATTCTGTGATTCTGTGATCTCTCACAGCTGAAGGAAGACCACCAGAAAGCTCTCCTGAGGCGGGAGTTTGAGCTGCAGAGCCTGAACCTGCAGAGGCGGCTCGAGCAGAAGTTCTGGAGCCAGGAGAAGAACCTTCTGGTGCAGGAGTCCCAGCAGTTCAAGCAGAACTTCCTCCTGCTCTTCATGAAGCTCAAGTGGTTCCTCAAGCACTGGCGCCAGGGCAAGATCGTGCACAGCGAGGGCGATGACTTCCTGGAGGTACCGTGGGCAGCGCGAGCTCCGGGCTGCCCAGGAAGGGGTGGTCGGTCACTGCGGGGCAGGGGGAATCCCACTGCTTTTTCTCCTTGTGGAGAGTCTCTGGGAGTCTGCCCACCTCCGCGTTTGGGCTTTGTGCCAAGGCAGCTGCTCTGTGTTTGTGGCAGTGCCATCCGTGCCTGCCGGGGAAGGGGG